TATTGTGATGCTAGTAGTATGAGCTACTGCTATTCTTCCCCTGTCCCTTCACCTGAAGCTTTGTGTGTAGAACAGCTCCGTGGCTTGCTCATTGGTAGGATTCTGGTGAGGATCAGACAGACAGGGCTGATGGGGAGGAGGGGGCGTATGGGCGTAATGGTGTGCATGGGAGAGGGATCCGATGATCTGGATGACTCGATTGGCCGCCTTGCGTTGATTGGCGCCTTTATTCTGGTTTTTTGTGTTTTACTTCTTCCTTTCTCTTATGCTCTGGATATCTGAGGCGATTATTCCTCTCACGTGTCTTGTTTCTTCTTGGTCTGTCCCGGTCATGAGAGAATTTGGCAGTGAATATGATGAGTGATGCCTGGAAGTAGGGCTATTACCCGAAGAGGAAATAGGCCGCGGGCATCTTCACCGAGGGGGCCTGATATTTGGGGTCTGTTTTTTGACTTTCTTCATGTCTTGGTGTCGTCGTTGGTATACTTTCAAGAGTTCAATTCCATCATTTTCCTCGAATATATTGCAGCGCTGGCACATCGAAACCCAAAATGCGGTAAACAATATGCGAGATGCACGGCTGGCGGTTTATTTTGGGGGGCCACAATCCAAGGGCGACTGCACCTCCACCGTCGTTGGAACCGTTTACGAAAGTACCTTACCTTACTGCAAGGTACGCAACGACGAGTGGGCGCGGATTGCGGCCGGTACGACTCTTCTTCTACCGTGTTGCCGACTTACCGCCTGAAAGGGGGGGAAGAGAGTCATCGTAAAGGGTCATCATCATCATTGTCACTCGTTACACACGCGGGAAGTTCTAGAATGTCTCGCCTTGTTGCCATAAAAAGAAAGCTTCGGGGCCGAGAGCCGCGCTTCTCTTCCCGCCATGTCTTCGACTTATTTTGGGCGTGAAATGTCTCAGTTGATCTTATGCCTCGTCTTGGCCTAAGCCCAGCTCTCCTGCTGTGCCAAGGTGGACAAAGATGACGCCGTGAGCGATACTTTGTCACAATATGACGGTGCTAGCTAGCTAGCATACATACCTAGTACTTGCATACCTATCCCGGTACGAATCCACGGTGATTCTTAGCAGGCAGTGAGAGGTGACTGACGAGTGGTGTGCCCCGTATTGCAGACAATGTCTACTGACTCTTCCCGGGTTGGTGGGAGTCCTAGCCGTCGCAATTGGATGTGCACGCCTCGCTCTAGAGCTCAACACAGCCCAATTGAGGACACAACTGCACCTACATGTTGACAACCGTCACAGCTCGGCTGCTGGCTCACCGCGTAACTAGATACATGATAGGGTTAGATTGGAATCGTGATCACCAACGGAGTCGACCATTCGCACCCCATCTCGGTCTCAACTGGTGCAACTTGGACGACAAGGACAGAAACTGAAGCTGTGTGTCACTCACTCCCCCACCACATGTAGCGTCATCACAATCAGCCGCTCTGAATATTTTCCACCCAGCCTCAGCCCCAATCGCAGGGAACTGCTCGCTGCTGCTTGTGCTGCTTGTGTGTTCGCGGCACGTCTTCCGAACCGTCCCCGTATCTACTGCCCCCTCTGTGGTGGAGGATGGGAGAAACCTACCTTACCCATCCCTCTTCTGAGGTTGAGTACATATCTTATCTTCTTGCTCTTGCTCCTTGAGCTCTTTTTGACTGCATTTTGCACTGGGCTCTATTTTAACTTGCACTTAGTAAGAGGCGCTTATACTCGGCAGGAATTATCGGGAATAGTAACACTCATACCCATAGGCTATCACGCTGGAACAAGGATCTTCTCGAGAGTGAGATATCGTACAATCGGCTGAGCAACGCCAAAGCTAGAATCTGCCGAAACCGCTGCAGCGGGCGGGTTGGCGGCCGCATGGATGTGATGCATCTGCTCCCCTTGTTCTACTTCTGCTCTGCCTCCCGTTCATCTGCGTTGGCTTTCGCTTCTGATTTGCGGCTATACGCAGCGCTAGCAGCAATATATCGAAATCGACAGCAGGGATTTCGCTTCGCTGGTTGGCCACTGACGTGCTGCCGGGCTGGGCCTAGCTCGCGGGAGGCAGAAGGGTAGGGCTGGCCGAATCTTCCAGTGGTCAGGCCGTGTAATAACCCAATCGGGCTGTGGCTTGTGATGCTTGCTGCACCTCGCTAGTATCTTTTCGTCGTCTTCGTTGGGGGCTTTGCATGTACTTTCAGCTGTTGGCTGTTGGCCGCCAGTCCGGAGGTTTTGCGCTGTTGTTCCTGACTCTTGCGGTTGTGAGACTCGGCAGATACAGAAGACGGAGATATGCAGAAACAATGTAGAGATCAGGGTACCTTGCATGACTAACCTGCCAACAGAGAGAAGGCAAAAACAATTTACCAAGATGACGTTGGCTTTGCTGGCCGGGATATCTATGGCAGGAGCAATCCAGTTCTGAGGGGAGGCGCGGGGTCCTGGCCGCCTTGCCTGCGCAACGCCAAGCGACAGAACCCGTCGTGTCCATCATTAGCTTCGAGCTTCTTTCTTCTTCTTCCACCTCATCCCCCTCGTCTCCCGTCTTCTGTCTTCTGTCTTTTGTGACGTCTTCCTCATCATCACCTGAGCAGTCAGCAAACGGTAGCGTGAGCGTATTTCCTGCCTCTTTCTCCATCGCTCAATGGCTGAGAAGCGGGCAATGACATGCCATCTACCGGGTACGAAGCACACAGCACTGACTAACCCCCAAAGCGCAACTCCCTCCAGGCAGACAAGCACTCGAGCCACTTTGACGAGATTCCACCATCCGGCCCGCGGCTATTGTTTCCCGTTGGTCGGTCCGCCCTCGCGCCGCCATTCGCTCATCTAGGTTCCGCGCGGCTGGGACTGCCCTTTGAAGGCCCTGAGCACGATGCTCCCAGCACAGCTGGGCCCGCCGTGTCTGCCCGGCCCTGACCGAGCTGATGGCGAGCTGCCTCACCCTTGCGCCAATGCCACCGCCAGCTGAACTCGTCCAATGCCACCAGCCGCGGCATCCGTGCAGCTCGCGCCCCGCTCGTTCCCATTACCCTTCGGCGAGCAGTGGAGAAGCCCCCATGGAATGCAAACATGGTTGTGATTCTCTGCATCTTTCCCGCATCATGGCTGCTCAGGTGAGGTTGAAGGGAGAGCAGGGCGGCTCAGCAATGGCTAGCCCACTTCCACTCTAGCCCGCCCGGCATTCCCAATCTATCGAATCCAACTGAGGAATGACGTCTTTTGTTTGGTCGACACCGGCGTCTGGGGGCCAAACGAGGCTGGCTGCTCGCCCTCGCCTTTAACTTGATCTAGCAATAGGCATCCATGGGGAGAAATGACATGTTATTGAGCAAGCTACAACTCAGACGGGTCAGTACTTGTGCGAGTAAGATGATACATGGAGTCTGGCTTTGTGTCTCCCCACCACGTGGATGGCCATAGTCTCCGGCAGTGCCACGAGGAGGGTCCCCTCCTCCCCACTCCAAAAGACAAAGAGGGTAAAAGAGTTGCAGTTGGATTGCAGCTGTCGCTGTCCATCACAACGGGAATCTTGCTTGCAGTAGCCATACATACTTGCAGGAACAGGATGCTGTGCCTGCAAGGGCCCCTGCGTATGTGCGACACTGACTGACTGCAGCCGGTGAGGCGGGCACGGGGTGGCCGGTATTGACTCTCGTGGAGGCTTCTACCCTGCTTCTGGCACTAGAGACATTCCCAACAGCATACATTTCACTGCATTGAAGCGACGGGTGCAGGAGCAGCGCAGCAGCAAGCCGAGGCTGCACAACTACGAATACTATATTCTCTTATGCGGGTGCGTGCGTGTGGTGTCTGTCATTGACAGTGCGATATGTGACAAGAAGAAGCCATTCAGCCAAGCAGTCACATTGTATTCAGCTTTTCACATTACAGCTATCTGAAGCCACAATGCAAGACAGCCCAGCTTAGGAAACGGTGTTCTTGGTCACGACCCCTCTGGCAAACTCGCCAAACGTCAAGTGCTGCTCAATATCAACCTCCTGGTCCAGATTGGGCTGCGTGAAGACAGCCAGCGTATTCCTCGCCACCCTCCCGTCGCTCACACTGGCCCTGACCCCCCTCACAAAGTGCGGCACCGCCTTAAACTTTCCTGCAGTGATGCGCTCCAGAGCCTCGCCCGTCTGGAACGCGATACAGTCACGGGGGATCTTGACCTGCACTGTCTCGCCCGTTCGAGACTTGATGTAGAGGCCGGCGGCGGGGTCAGGCGATGCAGGCAGTTCCTCTAGCGGAGGCAGAGAGGCGCCGTTGAGGCTGGTCAAGTCTGCCGTAGGAGGCACCGTGGGGTCGACCTTCTTCTCGTCGATGAACATGGCAGATGTGAGTCCGGTCAAGCAGCCATGATCGAGATGGGTGCCACACCAGTCGTCCTCATCGCCCTCTGCCGCAGTGGATGCCGCCTCGGACGCCCCCTGAGGGAAATAGTGCAGCAGCCTCGCCTTGGTGGTGTTGGAGGTGCTGACGACGTGCTCCAGGTAGCCCTTGGGGTACCCCTGAATCTCCTTCTCGGCAAAGCGGTCACAAGCGCGCGCCACCAAGACGGCAACGTCGATAATGAGGCGGCAGAGGCTCGTCACTGCCGGCTTCATGCCGGGGAGCACATTCTCCGCGGGCCAGATGTTGGGCGACAGGTACTCTGGGAAGGTCTCTGGCGAGAACTCAGCCGTGGGCTCGGCGCATTCCAGGCTAGGGTTCACGTAAAAGGCGCAGTTGGCGTAGAATGATCCCTTGAAAGTGTCTGCCTGCCCATTCTTGAGCGTCTCCTTGCCCAGAGACCAGCCGGTAAGGTACTTGGCTTGGGCGTTTTCCAGCTTGTCTGTAAAGCGATGGTAAGCGTTCGCTGATTGTGTCATAGGGTGATGAACACGAGAAGGAAACTAGCTGCCTGGCTTCCCCCCGTTATGTTCCTCACTCCTCGGTGGCTGAAAAAGAAACAGGACAGACACTTACCTAGTTCCTCTTTGGGTAGGTTTCCCAAATAGGATCCATATGACAAGGCGAGATGGCGCAGCTGCGCAAACTCTTGTGGGACGTCTTTGACCACTAGGATGCCCAAAGAATCAGGGCCAAAGGCCTGTTGCAGAGTCTCAAAGGAGACGTTTCCTGGAGGGTAGATTGCTGTGTAAGCCAAGGGTTACAGCGACACGTGTGAAGGCTCGGCGATGGGTGTGACTGAGAGTGCGGGTTTGTGTGCTTGTGCTTGTGCGAGAGTGGGAGTTGGAATGAGGATGAGAGTGAAGGCAAAGGGTCAGTGGGAGTATGACTGCGACTTTGAGTGGGTAGCAGTGTTTCAATCCATCGAGCCATCCATTCATACTCTGCTACCCGCTGTTGGAGCGGCCGACTTATACAGAGCGGGCAGTATGATGGTGCAGGTGGACAGGGCGGGCATGGCGGAATAGGCACAGAGTCTCTTCATACCATTCTGCAAATCCTTGAGGGACACTGTCACAGCCTGAGCCAGGGGAGCCATGCCTGCCGAGGCGATTATACAAGATTGGACGTGAGGGACGTCAGCTGCTGACTGGAGGATTGCGTTGGCAGATGGCCACAAAAGAGAACAAGGAGTGGAAAGGCAGAAATCACGGGGGTGGAGAGATGGCGGAAGAAAAGGATCGATCGTTGGATCCTTCAGGCGGTGCGAGGGGCCGTGGCAGAGAAAAAGGAAGGGCGAAGCAGAACGTCGGTTCGCATCCTCGCCCCCAAAGCCAGAGCAAGAAAAGACCGAGGCCCGCCAGCCACCATCGAACGGCGCCAGTTCCGCTCCTCCACGCCCCAAAGGAAGGAAGAACGAGGGGTTGTTCCGTACCTTCAACTAGTAATACCTTATCACGATTACCACTACTATTACCGCGTGAACTATCAGTCTGCTCTTCTTTTCTTCGACTGAACGATATTGTGGACTTTTGTGGTGGGGGAGGGGCAAAGCAGTTTCTCGAGACAAATCAGCGGCTGCAAAGACGCAGCAGATTCCAATGGGGAAGCAGAAAGAACGGCTAAGGACGGAGCTTCGCATGGGCTTACGTAATTCCCCGGCCGGAAGCAGATGGAGCTCGCCGTTCGCCGCTCTTTCTTTGGAGCTTCCGGCGATTTCGTAGCTCTCACACTAAACAGGCTTGGAGCATCTTCATGAGCACACGAGCGAATCCCGCGTAAAGCTACCCAGGACAGGCAACACGCATTAGCAATTCCGTCGTCCGTCTTGTCGCTGTCGAACGCGCCCTTGTCCCTTTTTCTCTTGCATTTTCACAGCCCCCCCCCCCCCGACGCGAGCCGAGGTTTCCAATTGGCCGCCGCCCGTTCTTGACATCAGGGCTCCTCGTATCAAGCATCAAAAATGGTCAAGCCGCTGACCTTCAAGGGCGACAAGAAGCCCAAGAAGCGGAAGCGCGCCGCCGCGGATCGCGCCGACGACGACGAGGCGGGCGAGTCCAGCAGCAGGCAGCAGAAGAAGCTGGTCCGCACCGAAGGCAATGACGACGAGGACCAGGCCAACGACGACAGCTGGGTGTCTGCGGACACGGTCGCGGACGTGGTCGGGCCGGTCATGATCGTGCTGCCCACGGACAAGCCGTCTGCGCTGGCGTGCGACGCCGGCGGCAAGGTGTTTGCGCTGCCGATTGAGAACATTGTGGACGGCAATCCGGCGAGCGCGGAGCCGCACGACGTGAGGCAGGTTTGGGTTGCGAACCGGGTTGCCGGGACAGAGCACTTTCGCTTCAAGGGGCATCATGGGAGGTATGTTGCGATGATACATCCGGAGGGCTCTAGATCTGATACGCTTGAATGGACTGCTAATTGAGACGATGTGATGCAGATATCTCGCCTGCGACAAGATTGGCCAGCTCTCGGCAACCTCTGAAGCCGTCTCCCCCCTGGAGTCGTTCAACGTCATCGCCACCGCCGACACGCCGGGCACGTTCCAGATCCAGACGCTGCGCGACACATTCCTGACCATCAAGCCGACGACGTCGACCAAGCCGAACGCGCCGCCGGCCGAAGTCCGGGGCGACGCCGACGCCATCACGTTCAACACGACGCTGCGCATCCGCATGCAGGCCCGGTTCAAGCCGCGCATCAGGACGTCCAAGGAGGAGCGCGAAAAGTCCAAGATTAGCCGGCGCGAGCTGGAGGAGGCGGCGGGGCGGAGGCTGGACGAGGAGGAGGTGCGGATGCTCAAGAGGGCCAAGCGGGAGGGCGATTACCACGAGCGGTTGCTGGAGATTAAAGTCAAGAACAAGCACGACAAGTTTGGCTGATGGGTCAATTGAGGATATGGGAGATGCATCGAGGGGCAGATTGGTTTCTGCAATGGAGTTGTGGAGTCATCATGGTCGACATATACGCAATTTCACGGGGCGTCTTACAGCCCGTATCTACCTGGAGGAGGCGGTTCAAGGGCCAACGTTACTCCTTCGCTTGAAGGCTGTGCTATGCGATTACGGCAGGTTTGAACAGAGCCATCTTACTTTCTCACCAGACACTGCAAGCTGTTCATATGCGGGACCGAGCGGTCGGAAGCCAAGGGCCGAAGGGGAGCTTCTTTGGCAGATGATCTGTTCACACACTAGCAATTCGGTGTATTGGCGCATGTGTTCCACCGGCACTCAACAAGTCATAACCAGCCGAATCGAGAGCCTCTCACAAATTGGAATGGGTCAAGGCATCTTCCTCGGTGCTGGCAGATGAAGAGGAAGGCGTTTTTACAATAGTGACATTACAGGTGTCAGATGATGTGCAAACGCGCTCGATGAAATGGAAAGCTTCTCTTGAGCTAGATAATACAACGAGATAAAACACCTTCGCTCAATGGCCAAGAGGGAGGATTAAACCTTGTTACTCTTGTTTGATTGCTCAGTTTCATATGTCTAGTGAATGTTCAGCCCGCCCTCCATGCCTTGACGTTTCCGTCCTCTCCCGTCGTGAAGACGACCTGCTCATCGTCGAAGAAGCAGAAAGAACGCACAATCTCGCTGCCGTGAGAGCCGGGCAGGACCACCCTGTTGTCGAGGTCGAGGGCCCATTCGTTGTTCGCTGCCTTGGAGAGGAAGACGAGCTCAAAGTTTTGTTTGCTGCGTGGTATAACTCTGTAAGCAATGTGATCAAGAGTTTCTCTCCCGACATCAAACCATGTAATATAAAAGAAGAGGGGGGAAAAAACAGCAAAGAAAGGAGAAAGAAGGAGAAGAAAAAATACATACTCTTGCGCGCCAGCCCCCAAAATCGCACCGCTCCCATCCACCTTGGTCACCACGTTGGCCACGTACTGACACCCGAGGACCCTCCTCAAGTCGCCAAAGTCCTTGACGGCGTCGCCGCCCACCCTGTCCTCGGCGACGTCCCACACGGCGAAGCACTCGTCGTGGGAGAGGGCAAAGACCTCGGTGTCGTTGAGGAAGGCGGCGTCGTGGATGGAGGCGTTGTGGTTGAGCGTCTGGACGGTGAGCTCGTCCTCGTCGGGGACGGAGGTGTCGTGGACGCTGGCGAGGCCGTCGGTCGAGCCCGAGATGAGGATCTGGGGGCGCGAGGGGTGGAAGGCGAGGGATGTGATGTCGTCGCTGTGGACTTCGGAGTAGGTTGCTTTTGGGGAGGGGGTCGAGCGGACGTCCCTGTTGGGAAGAAGAGATTATTTTTCTTTTGTTTAGATGATGAAGAAACTTGTGTGATGAGCGATGAGATTTGGGGGGCATTTTGTCTTTTCTTACCACAGGTGTATTGAGGCTACGTGGTGCTCCAGCTCGGTGCCCACGGCAATGGTCTGCGTGCTCGGACTACAAGCCATGGACAGTATTGAAGCTTGTCCCGCTGTTTTTGTTGTCATCAAGCATCATGGTCAGCACAAAGCCTCAACTCAAATCCCCCTCTGTTCATCCTCATCACTCAATCCTCCTCTTCTCATCCTCTCATTCAAAAAACTCCCAGCCATGATGAAAGAAAAAAAAAAGATCAAACTCACCCTGAAACCGCGCAACCCTCGCACCGGCCCTCAAATCCCACACCCCCACCGATCCGTCCTCGCCCGCCGTACAGACCACGCCCGTCGCCGCGTCAAACACCCTCAGCGTCGTGACGTTGCCGTGCTCCGTCCGCAGGCTCGCCAGGGGGCCCCTCCCGACGCGGGACGGGTCGAAGAGCGAGAGGGCCTGGTCGGAGGAGACGGTGGCGAGGCCCGAGGCCGTGCGGTGGGCTTCGAGGACGTATGTTTCGGAGTCGGGGGCGCTCCTGGGGAAGTGGTATTGGTCGATGTTGGTGAGGGTGTACATTTTATTTTTTTCTCGGTGTTGTATAAGACGATGGTGAGGAGTTGGCGTCTGTTGGTGCCTTTGTGCGCGACTCCGAGGCACCTCGGTGTTTTATGGTATTCAAGACTTTGAAAGAAGAGAGTTACAAGAGCACTTCTGTCAAGCTTGGTTGTATATGTTTGCTTATGAGACCGAGTCCAGTGTAAGTGACTGGTATATATCAAGAGATGTCTCACAGAGTTCAGAGCTCAACTTTTTTTCTTAGCAAGCTGCTACTGGCGAGGTACTTCGGGCTATGCACCTTGATAGAAGCGCTAAGAGCTCGCGGCCCCCGTAAGTGCATATTACTCACAAAGCGATATCAAATCGAAGCTTCAACATCACATCGCAGCTTCAACGGCTCTAGGTATAGGGGACGTGAATCGTATTCATCGACATCAACATCATAGTCAGACACTATCGTACACACCGCAGTTTTAGTCTAAAACAGTCTAGATCCTCGCCCGACAAAGAATAGGAGTGTCGCCAATCCAAGCTGCAATGCGAAAAAGGAAATGCCACAAAGGTGCGCCGCCTCAGCAGTCCCGTCCTGCTGTGTCAAACGCCGTAGAAAGCAAACAAAACGCCGGATTACCAATCAGCCAGCCATTACCCTCCCCTTCTTTCTTGATATCTTCTTCAGTTCTTTCTGGCAAAGCTCTCTTCTCTGGCACGCTCATTGACGCCTCGAAACGCTCGCTTGCCCACTTCGTAGCTGCTGATCATGATGGCGCAGGCTGGCGCCACCTTGAGAGTTCGCGGGATCCAGCCCCGCCACAGACCAGGGAAGCCTTCTGTCTTGAAGATGTGCCACAGCAACCGCATCATATTCTGTTCCTCCGGCGCCGGAGCACTTCCAGTAAGCCGGTGGGGAGAGTTGTGATAGATTTGTGTGCGCGTCTTGCCGACATCAAAAGGCATGGTCAGTATCGACGCAAGAGCACCAGAGATGGCACCGGCAGTAAAGCTGTCGAGGAACGTCTGCGTAGACTTCTCTCGACTCTGCGAACGACGCCGCGCCGTCGTGCCCCTGAGACCGTCGAGTGTGTCGCGGGTCAACGGCCTGCCCTGGCGTTCTTCGCGAAGATCCGATAGTCTTGCTCGTATCGACTCGTAACCCCACCAGTAGAGGCCAGAGAATGGTACATCTCGCCACAGCGTGAGCGTCAACCCCCGCCAAAGCGAAGTGTAGCCATGAGAGGCGACCATGGACCTAATTCCGTTAAAGGTCTCGACCAGATGGTTCGTTGTTGACCCAGAGGCAGCCTGCATACGGGTGCGAATGAGCTCGATAGGGCTGACGGCTGTTGCCGCAACAAGTCGGGCGGCAGATCCGGCAACCAGGGGTGCGTAATCGTCCGAGAAGTGGGAGAACGGGCTGACGGGGTTAAACCGCAGCCAGTCGTATCCTGTGAAGTAGATGATGTTGGCGGGGATGGTCATGACGAGTGTGGGTGAGAGGCCCCTCCACAGCGTTGTGAATCCTTCATTGCGAGCGATCTTGCGCAGCCCGTCAATCGTCGAGTTATATGTCTTCCTCTGGACTTCTTCTACCGCGCAGTCGGCCGCGGCGACGCCGCTCGGTGCCGGGATGCCTTCAAGCTTGGGAACGGCGAGACAGTAATCAATGGAGCCGCCTGCGAAAAAAACCTCGCGGCAGCACGCTGTGACGCCCAGTTCGGCGCTTTGCACGGGCGTGAGGCTGGTGGTTGTTCGCATCAGCCTAGAAAAGTCGACGGTCCTGGCGGCAGTCGTTGCGGTCTTGGTCGATGATTGCGACTGGAGCCGCACTCGGACGACGTCCAACGGAGTCACTACAAGGGGGAAAAGAGGTCAGCACATGTTGGGGTTTCGCCTCATGTCGGTGATATCAAAAGGCTTGCTCACCGAGCAGCGACGTCAACAAGCTTCCCGACATGGCCGACACCATCTTCTGGCCAGCCGTGATATCTGGAATGGCGTTGCCTCCATCGCCGTCCTGCGCGCCCATGCCAGACATGGCGAACGAGTCTCCGTCTATCCTGTCGTAGTTCTGGCTGTCGGAGCTGTGCACAACAGAGGCTGAAAGGGATCCCATGCCGAGAGCCCGTCGATGTCAGTGGCGGGGGGGCAACGACTGAGCGAGCAGCCGAGTGCTCGGCCCGTGAGGAATGGTGCGAAGTGGCCGCTCTCTCGGAGATGCTCGGACCAGCTCAGATCGTGTCAAACAGGTGTTGGTGCGTGTGCGGAAGCGATGGCAGGTGCTTCAGCAGTGATGCGAGGCGATGCGGCGAGAGTGTGGGATATCGATGATGAAGGATGAGGAGAGACGAACGAGGGAAAACAGAGAAAGTTGGTCGTCAAGACTATGGAATGGAGTAGTCATAGCTCTGCTGCTAACATAATGGAAATGCTGCTAAACTGGGTTGAGGCGCTGCTAGGATTGAGGCTAGAGACAAGTGCTAGTTCGAGTATAGCGCATCAATTGCCCCAAACGAGATTTTCTCTCGCCGTCTTCTTTTTCCTCTTATCTTTCCTCTGTCCTTTAGTACTGTAATTTTTTTTTCTCGCCCGCCTCCGCGCCGCTGCCGGAGATGAATCTGGACCCGCGAGTAACCGATGATGTCACCCAGCGCTGTGATTGGCCAGCTGGGTGGCGATTGATAATTCGCGATAAGATAACGGGGTCCCTTGCAGAGCTGCACTCGTTCTTGCCTTTCAGTGGAAGCTGACTGTGCAGACAGGCTGTACTTGTACCTTAGGTACCTCGGTACCGCGCGTTAGTAAGCTGTCACTGGCCGATCGAGTCAAACCTCCAGGGGCGCGCATTGCCTTGACCGAGTGATTGCATACCTTATTCCATCTGACAACATCCATCTCCCATCACGACGCCCTCAATCATTGCACACATTACAGATATAAAGTAAAATCGTTAGCCATCCTCATACTGCACTCATCCTCACATCATTAGCCATACCTTTACCTGTGATTCTCGCCTCATCTTTGCGTAAGCTCGAATGAACTCCATCCTCGCTCCAGCACCTATAGGCAGCGAATTAGCAATCAACTCCGTGCAGGCCCTCAGATTCCCCGCGCTCGGCCATATCGGACACCGTTCCTCGTCCAATTACAACAAGCACATCCGCCATGGCTCCAGAGGGCCGTGAACAAATGTCCAATGCGGAGCTGGAATCCTTCCGTCAGCAATGGATCTCCGATTTGCAGTCGCGAAAAGAGAGTGTAGGCTCAGCATCCCATGAGGCCGGGGCGGCTTCGTCTTCATCTTCTGCCGCCATCCCGCCTAGTACCACTGCAAGGCCGAGAAAGCACACGGGCCCTTCAAGTCCGACAATCGCCAAGAAGACCCTACCAGCCCTTGAAGATGACGAATACTATCTCCACGGCCAGACTTTTGATACCCTTCCTCCGCCGTCCTCCGGAGGGCATCTGCTTTCAGATGCTCCTGGCAAGCATGATGAGAAGCCGCTGGTTTCGGCCTTGGATCATTATGAGAAAGCCATGGAGAAGGAGGCGCAGGGCAACATGGGAGAGAGTCTACGTCTTTATAGACAGGCTTATCGAGTAAGTCTCTATGAAGGATGAAGAGGATGCTCCGGTGACATCTAATGCTAACTTTGCCTGTCAAGCTAGACCATCGAGTAGACATGGCATATCGTGAGAAGCATTTCCCAAAGGGTTTCGCGTCCACCAAGGGCACAAGCACAAGCACAGGCGCAGGCGCCGGCACTGCTTCGTCCGCGGGGGTATCAAAGGCATCATCAGCCGACGCAGTCAAAACGGCAACTTCCAAGCCCCCGGAAAGGGAAGAACCCCAGCCACTAACTTGGGAGGAGCTTATCGAAAGCTTCCAAGGCTTGAAGATCGAAGCCGCGCCTCCCATCATCGAGAACACGCCGCCACCTCCCTGCCACATCGCCAAGCTGCCGGATGAACTGCTCGTGCACATTCTCAGTGACGTTGCGGTGGCCGACGTCGGCGACTTTGCCCGCCTGAGCCTCGTGTGCAAGCACTTCGCCTACCTCGTCGCGACCGAGCAGCGCATCTGGAAGCGCGTCTGCCTCGGCACCGAGTTCGGCTTCACTGCGATGCCGCGCCACTGGCAGAAGACGGTCGAGTGGGGAGACCTCGAGGACCAGGAAGAGGCGGACGGGGACGGCCTGCTGGTCAGCATGCGGGAGCTCGAGGAGCGCCGCCGCGCCGACGCCCTCGCCCTCACGACGTCGCTCGTCGACTCGGGCGTGTACCTGTCGTGGAAGCACATGTTCCGCACGCGCCCGCGCATCCGCTTCAACGGCTGCTACATCAGCACCGTCAACTACATCCGCACGGGTCAGGCCACCAACCAGGCCGTCTGGGGCGGCAATCCCGTCCTCATCGTCACCTACTACCGCTACCTGCGCTTCTTCCGCGACGGCACCGCCATCAGCCTCCTCACCACCACGTCCCCCGCCGACGTCGTCCACCACCTCACGCCCGAGCTGCTCCGGCTGCACCGCGAGGCGCCCAACGCGCACCTCCCCTCCGCCGTCATGCACCAGGCCCTCAAGGGCCGCTGGCGCCAGTCCTCGGCACTCGACCACCCCGACAGCGCCGACCCTCGCGAGCAGGAGTCGGACCTGTACGTCGAGACGGAGGGCGTCGGTCCAAAGTACATGTACCGCATGGATCTGTCGCTGCGCAGCGCAGGCAAGGGCACCAGGAACAACAAGATTGTCTGGAGGAGCTTCTGCAGCCACAACAAGCTGACGGGCGACTGGGCCGAGTTCCAGCTCAAGAACGACAAGCCCTTTTTCTTTAGCCGGGTCAAGAGTTACGGCGTAGGCGAGGCGGTGTGATGCCCATGAATGCGTAGGTATATCTCCATTATTAGAATGACTTTTACGAAACGCCCCTTTGCTATCTTTGACGTTTGATACTTGACGAGTTGGATTGAAAGATCCACAGCCCATGTTGGAGATTTTTTGCATGTACATGAGTTGGACACACGGGAATACATAGACGATGAGGTATATCAAGAATCTATCACGGCGAGAAGATATTCACAGCGTTCGCTTTGTTGGTTCTTGGTCTGTTTAGAATATCAGAGTGTTTTGAAAACCCTCAGCAGAACTCCCCATTGAATTCATGATATATTTCTCTCTTTCCACATTTACAGGCTGTAAGAACGCCCGCCTTCGTGTCCCCCCCCTTTGGCCTTGAAACTTCAATTGTTCGAAAAAGACGATGCCCTACCATATGTGCCGCGCTAGAGTTTGGTATACAAAGAGAAAAGCAATGCGTAAAAGTGAAAAGGGTAAACAGACTCATTTTTGATAGCTCAAGAAAAAGAAGGAGAAAAAAATTGTCCGTCGCCATGATATGATGCCATACGATATGAGATTCAATGCCCGAAATGACGCACCAACGGAAAGGGGGGAAAGAGGCGCAAGATGGAATACAAGAAACACGCAAAAAAGATGAGTAGGAAATCGCTTGGTCGCTGATACGTAAATGGTACCACATAAATACCTCCCTAAAGAGAGATATGCGTCGTGATATATGATGAGGAAACGCATGCTTGATAAGCTGGTGTAAGGTCGTACATAAGGGGGTGGCTTGGTGCCGGGTCCTTTGGACAATCCGGAATAAGTCTTTCGTTTCCTTGGTCTCTTCCATCAGAGAATTCGTGTAGAGAAAACTGGTCCAGACAAGGTGCTGCATATTCTACCGCAGCCTCTTGCCGTCGAGAAACTTTGGCGGATCAGCGTTATAGTAGCTCTGCTGGTACTGCATGGCCTTGCGCGCCTCGTACGCTGCCCGCTCTTCTTCGTCCATGCTGAATGCCTTCTTGAGCCAGCCGAAAGCGCTGCTCTTCTTCTTCTTGAGCTGTTTGTTGTCCGCCGTCTTGGATGTCCGCATGCTTTGCGCCGTCCCGTCATCGTACGTCACCGACTCGACATTGCTCAGCGTGCTCAGTCCAGCGTTGGACGGCTTGCTGCGAAGGTGGTGAGGCGGTACCAGATTCGGCCCGCCATGGTAGGCAGACTGGCCATGTCCAACAGCAGTGTGCGGCCTCTGCTGCAGTGGGGAATGCGGCGAGGCTTGTACGGGACGATACCGTTGTCGATCCGAACGTGGCGAGGGTATCACATTGAGCTGCGGAGGGGACATCTCCATATTGCTAGAGCCACCTGATGCATGGCGACCATGGCGTTCCGCATCGGACTCATACGCCGAGTCAAATTGGTGGGATCGCATCGTCTTTGGCGTGGCCGTGCCGGGCGAGTGGGCATACATTTCCATGCCCTTTATGGACCTTGGAGGAATCTGTATGTCCCCGGGCATAACCATCTTCTGCGATACACGATCCCGGAGGGACGTCCTCCTCTGCACGATATCGCTGTCGCGCCATGTCATCGACTGTGTATCTGCTGGCGTAAACGGGGCCGACTGGAGTGACTGGAGCGTCGATTGCGAATCCGAGCGAGCGCTGTGGCTAAGCGCATCTTTGATCCGTGGTGAAGGGAGCGGCGCAGGGGGCTGCGGTGTATAGGTGCGCGGCTGGAGAAGGAAGACTGGCTCGCTCCCGCGTTCACTGCGAGGTGTCTCCGTTTCTGGGTCGCTCAGTTCGCTACTCGCAATCGAATCCTGTCGCCCATGCGTGTCCGTTGGCGAGGGTCTAGGGCTGCCGAAACCAAAGGTATTGGCGGTGGTTGGGACAGTATGCTGAGAGCTGCTGCCGAGGCTGGGGGCAACCGAGTGCTGGGCCGACTTGGGGCTGTTGGAGGCGTAGGCATTCGAGGTGTGGCGGTTGGAACGGAATGGCGGCAGCAGCGGTAGGCCTCCTGGCAAGGGAAAGTCGAGGGTACTGGTATCGTCTCCGTCGATCATTGAGTTGATGGTCAACTGATCTGAATCACTGCTCAGAACAGTACTGGGGGTAGGCAGATTATGTTCCTGCACGGTCTTGTACTCGATATCCGGGGACGGAACATCATAAGAACTAGGCATAGGGGGTGCTGTAAATGGTGTAATGTTGGCCTACAATGCAAGATTTAGCTAGTATCTCAAAAGCCATCAACACGCCGCCGAAAGGGAGGGTGCAGCTTACCCATGTCCTCCGGCTCGCTTCACCGGCTTTCTTTTCCATCTCGGATATGATGTTCATCAGGCGGATAATGAGGCTGTTGATGTCGTCGGTGCTGTCACTGATCTTCTCAAAGGCAATGAGCCATCCCTCCGCATTGCCGCTCATGGCGTCGAAAATATCAATAACGTCTGGCTGCTTCTCTCGCCAAGGGCCTTCGGCCTGATCGTTCAACCAGTTGATGAAAAGATTGCTGGTCTGTAGGCCGGCTTCGATATCGTCGTCCCACTGCTTCATAGCCACATTGGTCCTCGCCAGGATGTGCTCAATCTTCTCATTGCCCTGGAGTATCTCGTTGCGGAACTTGCGGTCCTCGAGCAACTGTTCAAACACTGTGACGTTGGACATGGGAAGCATCAAATGATCAATGCGCTTCTTCAGATCCAACTCGACCTGCTCGAGATCCTCAATGGTGACCTCGAGAAACTCGTCCACTTCGTCAATGTGGCCCTGCAGGATGCTGACGACCTGGGTGTTGTTGTTGGCCATGCCGTTGAGCATCAAGTATACACCGAACGAGATCTGAGCAATGAGCTTGGCCAACTCGTGCTGTGACTGCCCGGGCCGGAGCCTCCACTGGGCATCATAGGCAGGCTCGTCAACCCCTTGCGAAAGCACAGCCTCTCTGCGGGCCTGGGCATCCAGAGCCCTCAACTTGGGCTTCTCAACCGCAACACCGCTCATGACTTCGTGCAACGACTCGGCGAAGGCTTCCTGCAGGGCCGGGATGGGGTGAACCGGGATCGCTGGCGGCGGTGGCGTCGAAGCGGAATCCCGATCGTCGTCCTCCTCCGGGCCTTGACCATCATCCTCGGATTCGGAGTCTCCCGCGTCTCGGTCGTGCTCGCCGTACCGCGCAGAGCTCAGAGTCGTCGTGTTCGATGGGGGCGCTTTGCTTTGGGAATAGTCTGGAGAGAGCGGAGACGACAAGGTCTCAGCCTCGGGCAGCAGGACAATGCGGAGTCCTCCATCGTCGAAATCGAGGGGCGGCAATGTCGAGGTCATGACGGCGCAGATACTGGTGCTTACGAAGAGGTGATGAATAGGGCGAGGCCTAAGCTACCTATGCCAGGGACTGTGCGGCGCTATGGAAACGAAGAGGGCTTGCCAAGTGGCGTAGCTGGCAGAAGTCGAGGTAGGCGGGCGACTTCGGAGCGGCAAGCAACAGCGACTATGACAATGCTGCTTGGGGGGGTTCGAGAGTACGTGGCGCTGTCTATGCCGTCGAGAGCTTCGTCACGGATGAACCAATAGCCATAACACTACCATCCAAGGACAACAGCAACGACGAGAGTCAGGCGGCGGGATATCGGAGCTTGGAGAGGCTACGAGCTCGAGATTTGGTCCTCGTGTGCGACTATGCCAAGGTCCGGAACAGAAAGGAATCGTGAAGCCAGGAGTGGGAACGAGAGGAGCAGGTCAGCAGCGGGCCTGCATCACCAGTCGATGCCAAGCAAGAAGAGGAAGCAGAAGCAGAAGAAGAAACAGAATCCAAGAAAAATCCTACACATAAAAGGGCAAAAGCGAGCGAGACTGCGCATGGAAAAGAAGAGAAGAGGAGAATGCCAGCTAGCCAACCAGCCGCGGCATTGAGGCCCTGTGGTGATGGTTTACGGAGGAGGAGGAGGAGGAGGAGGAGATTCGAGCGCGGCCAGAGGAAGGACAACCTAAGACGAAACGCACTACTAATAATACCTACCAGGTAATAACACCTCCAGCTCTGAGCAGTAACAGCTCGAGCCCAGACCAGCTCCAGAGCGTCTCCGTTCGCCTGTTAGCGCAGGTCTGGCCGCTGCTAATGGCGCCTCGACTGCTAAATTGGGAACAAGCAGATGCGAGCCCGCCATCAGGTCCCCTGGCCGTCGTTTTAGCGGGAAATGGCTGCAGTGCTAGGGGAGGGGGGGATCCCTGATGTGTCTCTTTTGATTTTTTTTCTCTTCCTTTTCAGGGTTCTGTCATCTTCGAATGGCATCAAACTCACTGGTCTGCTACACCCGTTGAAGACGAAGCTGCAACAGACATGTCCATAGGTTACCTTATGTGAGGTATGATCTTGAGTAAGTAGGTAATAAAATAGCTGAGATGGAAAGCTGCAATCCTGGTATTTCCACCTGTAGCGCTTCGGTGCCTATGTACATAGCTGACGATGCAAAAACCCCCTCCAGCAAAGTCTCCTGAAGCGTCGGTTGGCCAGTGCTCTCTCAATTGAAAGCTTGGCCTTGGGAATTCGGGGCTTGCCAGGCGCGGCTCGCATGGGGGATGGCTGGCGGGACGGGCCAACCAGAACCGCCACAGTCCCATCAAATCATCAGGGGTGGGAAAGCCCTCGACAACGGCCGGATGGGGCTCGACAGATTTGATGGCGTTCAAATCTCCAGCAAGCGCCACGCGTACCTGAGATGGGAGCAGAGCTAGTGCTGGTAGTCGCATTGGATGGGGCCACGGCTAAGGAATTACTAGCAGCAAGCGAGTAAGTTGGCAGCCAGCAGGGGGACAAGGGGGATTCCTCTTGATCCAATGCTTTCATACAAGCATTACCGAGGACAAAAAGCACTAGCTAGGCTGTTGGTGTTGGTGCCGTGGCGAATAGCAGCCCAGGCGCCTTACCTTGGCCTCAAGCGGTGTGCCGTCGCTCGAGGGAATCAACAATTCTTTGCAGATGCCTTTACCGAGACGGACAAGGAAAGCGGCTGGATGCAAGGGCTGCTGTTGAGCAACTCGTCAGCAGATGCAAGGGGGAGCAGCGACATGTACTACAACTTCGCAGCAGCAGCCTCGTCAGCGACAGTTGGGTATCAAGTCGCTCTACATGTATCTTGTTGCCTCGAGACCAGCTGTCTCCGTTCTTCACTGATATCGCTTCCATGACTGCAGAACCGAGACATCCATCCATCCATCCATCGAATTGACACCTACTTGTCCTGTCCCGGTAGTACTACCTCAGTACTACTACATGCGAGAACCCCAAGGCACGCAAGACATGGAACGGCCCTCAGTGGGTACAGACTTCGTCGGTCCGTCCAAGAAGCGATGATGATCAGCAGCACAATCCCGATCGCTGCGGTCTAGACGCCGCTGATCTCGAGGCTCCAGCACAAGGCCGTGGCCGTTGTTGAACAAGCCGTCATCCCAACCTGCTGATCTTTGCTCTCTTGCAACTCATGTGCCTGATACCAAACGGCTGCGATGGACAAGAAGCGAATTGGGCATGAACGGTATTATCGAGTCCATCTCCGATCGTACCTGGAATTACGGAGCGCCGCCACCCCCCCGCCCGGCCTGTCAAGAGCCGGATATTACGAGGAGGGACCCAAGCCATCGCAGACCAGCTTCGTTCAATTATACGAGCCATGGTGGTCCGGAATAGCCACAACACCCAGTCTCTGTCTTTGTTACGTGTCCACACATGGTCTCTTTCGATGGCCTCGAGCAAGCAAGATCAGCGCCTTCCAGTACAAAGGAAGGAAATCAAGTCAGGAAGATGGTGGTCAGCTCACAAGGAGCTACACCACGCCAACAATCACATCAACAAGGCCCTCCAAAATTGAAGCCTTGGATGCCCGTGTATCCGCGTCTAATTCCTGCGCCTCACTCATTATCGCCCTACGCAGCTAGTCATAACTAATAGTATGTAGTACTACTACTCATAATCTGCCAAGCCGGTTCCAAGCGATTCATTGCCTTAGCCGCATCAACAAGGCACGCCAAGGGAGGGGGGGGGAGGCCGTGGGTTCTTCATTTCGGCCGCCTTGGCTTTTCTTGCTCCGTGCTTTTCCCACGCTTGCTCAGCGCACAGCCAACAAGGTATTGTCTTCCCCTTCCTCCTTTCCTTGCGCAATTCTGAGATGTTACAAGTTGAAATAAAAGAGAAAAATCGAGATCACGTTTCCGTACTCGCATCGAAATCGCGGAGATTGACGCACACAGCTTCGATGTAGGTGAGATTCCAGAGGCAGCCAACTGCCATCGATGCCATTTTCAGGGGCTTCGGAGCGAAAAGCGTCACGGTACGCGTACCTCGATTCTTCGATAAAGTGCTACTCGCCTCTGTTTCCCCCCATTATGTGATGCTTCTACAAGAACATACTATTAATCTTAATTCCCATTGGCTACGGAATGTTGATACGGGCTTCAACTCCCTTTTTTTCTTTCCATTGCGCAGTCGCCCATGAGGATGAAATACCCTTAATTCCTAGCATTGACGGCCCTTATCACTTCAATTTCGCAGAAGTGGGCATCTCCAGTCCCCTCTCCCACATCTCCCACACAAATCGACCCATCAAACCTGAACTAGCAAAAGCCGAGATCCCAGCAGCCCGGCATCCGATGCTGCATAGTATTGCGGCTCATGACCGCGATCATCGTACGAGCAACAGCAACTCGGCATAATCAATCTCTAGGCTGCCATCTAGACTACCTTACTTACATGTACCTTACCTACCAAGCACTACTAACCGGCAGAACCTTCCCATCTGCTTGCTTGTAAAAGCCCCATTCAATCTGCCTCCCCATACTACTAGTAGTATCTTCAACCTATTGTCTCCCCCCACTATCAAAGTGATCAACACGATCCGAGAGGGCCCAGAAAGTGGGTGGGATTGGATGGCCTGCATCTTGCCGCTGCGATCATCGCACAAGGGGCAAGAAAAAGGGCCCCAGGTGAAAGAAGTGGCGTCAGCTCAGAGACAAAATGTCCACTTCCATCCAAAGGTAGGCTTACCTTATTGCTGAAAGTTGGGCAAGGCTTCGTAGACGACATGCCCTTCTGGTCGAATGGCTACCATCATGAAGTTCGTGACTCTGTTTGCTTGCCTTTATGGAGGATATTCCAGGTGGTTAAACAAACCCTGACATTGAGCAGCAGAATCCCCAGATGAATACCTCTATTAGATGAATAGCCCTCTCCTAATTTCTACCAGCAAAACAGCAACATGTCGCTATCCTTCTCCTCAAAGAGCCAATGCATCAAACCCTCATCTCACTCATACCATCCCCCTCCCCGTCTCTCCCAAAGTTGTCCACATTCTCAATTCAAAGGGCCCCGTCACCCACCGCAACCAACAGCGCATTGCATTGCATTCACTTCTCCATCAGGAAGGTGTTTTTGCCCACGACGGTCTATCATAAGCTGATGCGCCAAGGCATATTAATGCTCCTCAGAACACAGTGCTTCGACCTCAAAAGCGAACCACAAGAGTCTGCCTTATACCATCGTCTTGAAAGTTTCATGAAGTGGGTTGGTAAATCCTCCAAGTTCAGTCAAGCCCAGCCAAACATGATGTGAAAGCAAGAACGGTAGCAAAGGGCCCAGCTCATCTAAATGGTGTCAACCTCTAATTGCCAGAGACATCGGCGCGACAAAAAACTCGATCTATCTTCCAACATATATGACCTGGAAGAATAATGCCAACCCATTTTCTTTCCCTTCCCTTTTCTCGCCATTCCCTTCCTTTCCTTCTGATTGCTAAGAAAAGTCCGCTTGAATAAACTGAATAAATCTATAATATTACATGTCTCTTCTTTCTCTATCAGGTTTGAACGCTCAACATTTCATCAAAACACCCTTGCGCTTCTCGGATTCGCGAATCTCAAACATGACCTGGACGCCCACAAACAAGCAAACAGACGCGGTGAGGATGAAGAACACACCTAGCACATCGTAAACACGTTAGCAGATTGCTCCACGGACAAGAAGAAAAAAAGAGTACCAGCGCCCAAACGTACCTGACCAATCATGCAGAATGCTGCTAAGAATGCTCTGTAAGCCATCAAGACCAACCGCAAAGCCAACCAGGTTGGCGGAAATCATCATCAGCACATTGCCCACCGCTCCGATGCAGCAGAGCATGCGATACTCCGTGGGCCGGTTCTCCCACTTCCTCTTGGGGAACAAGTAGCTGGCCGTCCACTCCGGCACCATGAAGATGACAATGAGCCAGCCCCAGATCAGCAGGCGGAGCTTGATGTCGTGCCAAAGTGCGACAAACGTAAAGACCAGCAGATACGTGACGACCGATTTGACCGACGACTGCCAGCTGCGGAAGGACGAGCCACCCAGAGGGATGTAAATGTACCGGATGAGCCAGCGGTTGTACGAACGATGCCAGGCGCGCCAGAAGAGCTGCGTGCTATAGTTGTTGCTCACGCATCGGACCATGTTCTCTGGCGGGTCAATGCCATCCACCAAGGCCCAGAGGCGGAACATGCGCCATGGAAGGAGCAGCTTCAGCCAGATGATGTGAAGGTTGAAGAAGGACAGAAGACTAAGCTGAGCGGCAGTGTAGTCGCTCCAGACAGGGGCCGCCTTGCTGATTGCGCCGACATAGTCGTAGTGCAGGATGAGCTCCATGGAGAGAAGGACGAGCAGGAACCGAATGCCGTACCGAATCGTGCGAGGCCATTCGATGCTCGCGGCGCGATACTTGGACTGCGAGATGTAGTCGTTGAAAGTCAGGATCGGACCGGCAATATACAGCGGCGCGTACAATGCGTACGCCACGTAGTTGCGAAAGGAATAGTCTCTGATGTCGGCAGGGATCGAGATTCGGTCGCGCTCGGAAAGGCTGGCGGGATCCAATCCCTTCTTCTTGGGTGTATTAGACACATACGGTATGCAAACGACATCGAGAACAAGGGCGACTATGCGCTTACCTCTAGAGAGTTCGAGTTACGCTTGTCAATGCTCCAGTAGTAGTCCAAGTTGAAGCTGATGAGCCGCAGAATGGTAATGTTGAACAGAATGTCCCAGCGTCTCAAGATTCCTCCCCATCGATCCAGCCAATATCCCCAATGCGCCAGCGGTCCCCACGGAGGGCCGACCCAATTCGCCAAGAGCTGGAACCGGTATCCCATAGTCAACTCATTGGCAAACAGCGTTCCGATGTTGAATATCCAAGTCGCCGCGGGGACGTACTTGCGAGGCAGTTTGGTCGCAAGTTGGTAGTTGATGGCGAGAATGGCGAGGATCTTGAAGGACGATATGCCATGCAGAATGACGATGAAGACGATGGCAAAGATGAAATCGAAGGACGCACGCTGGTCCAGTCTCGTCGAGCCTCTGGCGCCGCGCGCAGACGGCTTGTACACCGATTCCCATCCTTTTCGCAGCAGTGGGTGGAATATCAAGAGGCCCGTCATGATGGGGAAGTTGTCTCGAAACGTGCGGTACTGGTCGTCGGAGTTGTCGATTTTTCGCCCCGGGATCCATCCGTCCGACAAGTATTTCTCATATTTGGGATACCTAGGATCAGAAGCTGCACCACCCAGCTGTCAGTACCCCTAAAATAGATGGCATCTCCGTGGCCAGATCCGGGGAAAGGGGGCCCCTCACGTCTTGATACATCATATGCTATCCAGAACATATACGGGACGACGACGATGAAGACGATGTAGTAGAGAAAGAACTCGGGCGTCCGCCATTTCGGCGGCGGTGCAGAGCTCCGGGCCCTGGCCGCAGCCTCTCTCTCGACGGCCGGGTCGTCGCGAGCATCGATGACGGTCTGGTAGGGAACGGATGTCGACGAGATAAATCGCGTGTCGAGGGTGTCGAGGTCGTAGACCTTGCGCAGGTAAGAAGAGAGACCCATGGTAGCTGATCGGGGTCCCGAAAGGCAAGATTCAGCGCATGGTGATCCGATTGGGCGGCGGTGTGGCAATTGGCAGCGGATGGGCAAACAAACGGCCTCTGGTGCCAGCTGGTCGTGAGGCACAAGCAACAGTGTTCAGTTGTCTCGTGAGGCTTCGTGAGAGACAGCGCCGGCTCGAGTTGGTGGGGGGCCGCAGCAGTGCATCTCAGCAAGCGAAGCCCCCTGAATCTGAATCGCTCAGCCCCACGATTTGCGCGGCTGAGCATGGCTGAGTGCAGGTAGCGCTACTTGCGCGGCTGCTGAGTGCGAGCTTGTTTCTTCGCAGCCCCGTGCTGTGCACTTGTACCGCTACCTACAGCATCGTCCTTAGTTCGACACCCAAACTGCATCTCGCTTCACCTTGTTTGCCTACCCTATTCATGAACTGCTTTTTCGTCTATTGTCTAAGTTTTGGCGAAATGTCCTACCAATTGGTCCATTTGGAGATACAAGATACGCAGAGAAGTAATTGGATCAAAGAAGAAAAGGAGCATGAAGCATATCAATAGTCATCGGGCGAGGCTTGAATCATATTCGTGTTATTAAGGGGCATCAACGGCAGATCCGTAACAGCACCGCCAGACTTGTTTGCTTCCTACAAGTTTCAAGCTCCCTTACGAGCAAGTTGAACTTCAATGACTGCAACAGCGCACGATCAGGTGACTACGTGTACAAGAGCCTCAAAAGAAGCAATCACCAAAAGCGAAGAATGCGCGCAAGCGACCAGAGCGGCGATAACGGTTGCTACACCCGATCACATGCTGCAGACAGTTCACACGAATTGCATTTCACCGACTGCATGCAGCCACAAACACGACCAAGCAAGGCTTCAAGTGCACTCATCATGCAACATCACCGTGAATGACCGACGCAGCCAACGCTCTGAGGCCCACGGCGGGAAATCCCACAGGCCGCGAGGCAGTAGCCGCCTCCTTAAATAGCCAGCCCAGTCATCCAGCAGTCAAGACGGGACAGGCAAGCAACCAAGCGACCAGTGTATGGCTCGCATGCCCTAGAGGCCACAGTTATACTTCGTACGAGGGCCCCTACCTTGTAGGATTCGTTTCCCTGGAGCGCAGCTTCACGAGCAGACCCTTCGCCGCGCGGTTTGCTGCATATTGATTCAGCATGTTTGCTTTTTTCCCCTTCTCCTCCCTCCCATGTCCCGTGTCCCGTGTCCCGTGACCCCCCTCCATCCCTGTGAGAGGCGCCATATGAAGGAGACAGACGGCGAATCGGATTCTGGACGGCCCAACAGGCCCCTAAACAATGCAAGGCTTGCCGGGTTGCTTGTTCAGGTGGCAAAGCCACTCGTATGCGGCCCAAGGTCGCACCAGTCCAGGCCGCTGTGGGAACGTGAAGGCTGAACAATGTTTGCCTAGATGCAGCGTAAGACGTGAGAGTGCGACGCCTCGAGTCTGGAGATGGCTACGGCCATCTCTTTTGATTTCTCCCTCTTAGATCCCCCAAGAGCTTTTCGCCGGTCAACCTGAAGCCTGTCATTGATATAAACCAATCACAGGAGGCTTAAGCGCCATAAGAACATTCGTTTCGAAGCAGCCTCGTATGTGTGCTCTTCATCAAGGACAAAGCGCGCGCTACCATGTGTGAAGTCGAGCTCTCCATCTGCGTCCACTGCGGGAAAGTGTTTGCGGCCAAAATGAAGTATTGCGACCCTGTCAGAGGCAAGCTGCTGGTCGCGGACAGCACACCATTCGAGATCAGCTCGTCGTTCAATTGGTCCCCGATGGAAGGGTGCGACGGTCTGCAAATCCATCCCACGGCCAACCTCGACGCCTGCAGGAATGACATAACCAGACCCGAGGTGCCCTTCGACCGACCAGCAGCGGCGAGACCGAGCGCCAGGAGCCCTTATCCGACCCCAATGGCGCTCCAGCGGACGGACATGCCAGAGCAGCTTCCACAGGCTGCGGGAGTGGAAGAGCAACGCCAGGGGGTGGCCATGACGCCGCTGGGCTCAGATGTGCAACTGCAGCTGCAAATGCAGATCCAGATGCAGACGGAACCGCCGACTGGAGACACCCCAACGGTTGGGTCGCCGATGTCCTCGTGGTCAGGGTCGACCGTGTCGTATTATTGACTCAATGGACCGCACGGCAATGGCTGCGTATCGGCCGCTTTCTTCTTCTTGCGGCTTCCCCCTTCCTCTCTCACTCAACCATTTGTTTGGTGTTTGGCATCATGTCGTGGCCCGATAAGCCGCCATGAAGCTGTTGAAACCACCAGACAAAGCATTACGACACCTATACGTGCTCGGTGACGGAAAGATAAAAGTAACACCGGAGAAGAGATAGTGGTGGGGTGGCGTTCTTCTGAAAGAAGGATTGCCTATCGGAGCAGCCTGACAGGATTTCCAACCTTCCCTTGAACGCTTGGGTGTTCGGCCGCAGTTCGGCCAAGATAAGCACTGGTACTGAAGGGGATTGAGATAATGCCATATGAGAGGACGGAGCGGCGAGGGGAGTAAGAGCGAGGGGAGTAAGATCAAGGGGAAAGGAATCTCCTTTGGCCACATGATGTGTATCTTGGCGATGTGTTGTTTTGCCGTTTAACAGTGTGACCGGAATGGCGTCGGACCAGCCGGCTCAACTGCTATGCTGTCAAGCGGATTTCCTTCCGGGGCAAAGGCATTCTGTTTCCGGTTTTAATTGACATGTTGGCTGCTGAGCTGTTGGCTGGGTGTCGTGCCTGCTTAGAGGAGAAAGGGGGAGGGGTTGCCTCGCCCGACACTGTCGGCCGCTGCTTGAACGGGATATCGGTGGTGAAGGTATAGAGTAGCATTTGATAGAGAGCTTTGATGTCCATGTTGACGCCCTTCCGTATACGAAGCTCTGTTTCTCCTTTCAGGTATGGAATAAGAGGTGTCATGTTCACGCCCACGCTCACCAACAGTAAGATGTCCCGCAGCGTTGCCCCGTTCTGGTTATAAGAATTTGCACACCCTTCATCTTTGTTCTGTGCCGTAAGGAGCGCTCCGCGGACCTGGGACACGAAAGAAACCCGAACCTGTAGAACCTTGAAAGGTAGAATACCTCGGTTGTCAGGCTCCGGCAGACATCATGTTGCCGAGCAGTTGCTGAGCATCTTCCGGTACCTTAGTGTTCAGCTACTCTTGACGAATAGGCGGCCGAAGGGTTGTGAAACCGAGCATTTGTCTGGAATCGAGCTCTCCGTCACCAGCAGAACCGCCCAGGTCTCTGTAAGTCGGATGTTGTTGGAGTTGCCACCAATTAGCTAGTCTCGGCCGACGTTAATGACTTGTTGAAGCATGATGTCCATTCCACTTCCTCCGGACCCGCGGCCTCTTGTTCAGGATACCTGCCGAGGGGCATCAAAACCCGACTCGTACGAGCGTGATCCATAGAAGAGTACGGCGGGATACTACCTTGGCGTCTGGATTTCTTCCTCAAGCTCTGGACATCAACACCCAAAGCCGTAATCTGCTCCGAATGGGACTCGTCCGCGAATAGTAGTAGTAGTAGTATATAAAGTAATAGGTTCCGCTGGCTGGCAAGTATAGTAGACAGACGTCGTTGCGGTGGCTCCGCACGTGCATCGGACATAGAGCAGGATGTCACCTACACAGCATATATCCATGTCGATAGGCCGCCTACAGGGGACGAGTCTAGCGTGGATGTCGGAGTTTTTAAATTGGAGACCCTGAGAAATAACAATCAACAACTGCTGCTTCTTACGACCGATCGAGTCGGCCGCCATCACGGGCGTTATGCACGAGTGACTTTAGTCTCGCGCGTTGGGCCACGAATCGGCTCCGGGGGCGATACAGCTCCCGTCGTTTTCTGGATAGCGTGAGCGGTGCGGCCTGGGGGAGTGGAGAGGGCCGGGAAAAGATCTTGAAGATCTTGGGCCAGCCAAACCCTTGCGATCCCTTGCCCTTTGTGTTCAGCGATTGTTTCTTTTTTTATTCCATTTCTTTTTCCTGTTTCCTCTTCAATGTCCCGGGGCTTCGGATGCGGTTATTTGGCAAGGCGTCATTTCCTTTTCGTCCGCCGAGCGTATGTTATCCTTGTTCTGGGGCAATATTTCCAAGTAATGAGAGCCCCGTAGTCAAGGCCGTGCAGTTGGATAGGTGTGGCGGACATCCTGCAAGCACCTGCATGCTTCGTACATGAAGATGTATATCGTCGGCCAGTGCAACGGTGAGCAGAAGAGGGTTCGCATCGCAAAAGGGAGGATGTGGCAATGTGACGATGGCGACGAAACCGGTCAAGATACTCGTAGTACCTGGGTAGTACTGCTGCATCGTTCCTTTCTCTATTTCTTCGCGTCTTCCCTTTGCCCCTTGGGCGTCAATCTGCAGGGCCACATAGGTAGTTGTAGTGTGACCGCTGGACGAAAGCCTGAAGGTATCCACGAGAACCGAAGGGACGATGATTGCAGACAAGTCCAAATCCGAAATCCGATGAATCAAATGCAGAAAACGGGTGCATGCAATCTCCAGCGACTCTTAGCTTCGGCAGCGGCCGCCCGGGCACGTCGAGCCGCCGACCTGAGCGCAATTACAGTGACGGCCACAGGGTTAAGCGTTTCAGTCAGCGAGAGCTTTGATGATCGGCTTGCTCAGCTGTTGAGCCAGGGGTGAAGCTGACCGGACTTGTTTGGTGAGGATTGGTGACTGTTGCATTGCTATTTCGTTGCGATTTCGATCTAGCTCTCCGTCATCAAATGCCCTTAGAAAATCGATCCTCCTTCTCCCCCGTTTGGGGAGCACCTTTCCGGGAGTAGTAATTGCCTGATCGTCACACTACCTCTGCCCGTGATTTGCTGCAAAGGCAGGCACCACCCAAGCACTTGTACTGTACAGGTACTCTACAGCATGTCATGCAATGGGAAGTTGCCCTCGTTGGTCATTGCCTGTCGGCGTCAGGGTCGGTCTTGCCCCGGTAGGCCGATGCTTGACTCGACGACAGCAGGCAAGACACAGCGGGAGTACATGTGATACCGGCGGCACTTGGCACACGCACATTGTACCTCCATCCAGTCCTTTCCGTTGCTTCGACCGGGTCAACTCCGACATCATCACCATCACCGTCACCACCACCATCATCATCATCAGCAGCAGCAGCAGCATGAAGCAGCAGCATCTTCATGATCCGCAGCCTCAGGCATCTTGTATTCTGCCATCAACACCGAGACCCGTGCACACTGGCCCAGATGCACAGCTACGGGTACGCATACGTCTGAGGCAAGCTCTGGAATGTTTATTCCAGACTCGGTACCTACTACCTACCTATCTCCTACATGCCCTTGCTTTTGGAATTGATCTACTGCGGTACTCCATTCCTACCATTAATGATTCTACGCTTTCAGCTGCTCATAATCTTCGAGTAGTGCACCAATTTGAGTTGACGGGTATCACGACTACTAGCCAACAAATTCATGGCATCTCCCGTGCTGCTGCTGCTGCTGCTCAGAATACTGTACAATGCTAAGTCACATCTGGGCCCAACAATGAACAATGAGCAAGCATAGCTTCAGCGGCTCACCAGGGTGGGCTTCCGGCCCGTTGGGCGTGTGGGCCACAGCAGAAAACCGACTGGGGTTAATCGTACGCCTTCAGCAGTGACGACGACGCATGTGAAGGCAGAGCAGATGGCTCCATGGCTCTCGCTCGGCCCCGGCGTGTTTGCTGGTGTTGCCGGCAATGCGTTTCACGGGTGGTGGAGCCACCTGCTGTCTCTAGTGCATCTTCGTCCGCTGCATCAACGCCGACAGCAGCAGCTTCCAGTGCAACTACAGCAGCCAATGGCGCTCAAAGCCGCCCGGCCCGCTGTCCGATCGCCGACACGGCGTTTGCGGTCAGCCGCACCGACGGGCGGCGATAAGGCGCTCGTCCATCTCAATCTCGTCCATCTCATACCATGCCGGTCCCTTGTCTGATCTGGCGGCTGCTGGCGAATGGTGCGGCCGATGGCGCGCAAAAAAGTAAAGCCCTGTGTGTCTCGTCTCGCAAGAGCTGGCCTGTTGCGGCCTCTCTTTCTTTCCTTCACCCTCGCTGTCTCTCTCAACCTGTACATACTCCTGAGTACATACACTACATGTATTACTTCGTATGCCGCTTCCAGTCTTCGGGTTGCGGAATACCCCACGACGGTTGATCTTGTCCTTGACTGCGATCCAATCTACCGAATTCGTCTACCCTTGATGGCGGTCTGATGCCGTGGCTGGGCCCCTGGCTAATAATCAACACCTACTTAATAGTCTGTACGAAACACCAGCTCCATTTTCGAGCTTTAGCCGTGGGTTCAAAACATCCTTCGCCCACCCACTGACACTCCTGCTTTGCCCGTACATCACCAACACTCGAAGTTGACTGAGACCGAGACTCACCAAAGCGCCCTTTAGTTTCTTCGACTGCGGCGTTACTTTCCCAAAGAGACGACACCGCTCAACCTCATCATCACCTGCAGCGATCCGTCTCAAACAGCAGATAGTTTGGGCCGTTGCGGTCATTCTCCGAACCTCGTGCTGCTGTAGAGGTGTGTTGCGACATCAATCGTGTACGATACACACGGGCTACCGATTTGCCAAGTTGCACTCGTACGTATGTTGGTTCTCCTTCCCTCGCAGACCCATCTCATCCCAAACCGGCACTACTCTTCCTATGTCCTGCTTGTCCCTGCTCCAGTCATCTATCTCCCAACATCATTCACGTATCACTTTCTCTGTAATATCGAGGCCCATGTTCAGTGCCGCCATCACATGGTTCCCGCCGCCCACCCTCCGTGTACCCTCCGTGTGAGGTGTAAACGGCCCTGTCAGCAATGAGAGCCTTTGTTCATGATCCTTCGTCACCTATATATCCTACCCCCTCTCCAGTTCTACTTCACACGTGAGCTTTAGCGGCATACGCGAAGCACTCAGTACTGTCTCCTCCCTTTTATGTATGTTGTGTAGTTGCAACACATATACAGCGCCTGCTCTCCTCTCAATTGAGGGACGGTTTATCTCAAAGCATATGATTTGTCCATAGCGAGTTACTCTGCCAACTACTGAACTATACATTCCTCTTGCGAGCATTTTCACTGTCATGGGTATGGGTTTGGGGTATATAAGGACGTGAAGCTTGGACTTGGTTGTCTAACTTGCTTGATAGATTCCAGTCGTTCACGGTCACCTTCTCAGCCTAAGAAACAGACGTACAATAACTTCGGCACACGTGCTTTCAACGCAAGCATGGATTCAGACTCCGGTGCCTGCCACATGGCTTCGCAGTTCCTCCAGATATTCAAGGAATCAGGCCTTCAAAGGCAGCTGGAGGACGGCTGGGGGCAGAGCTATACAGGTGGCAGTGCTCCAGGCTCTGCATCAGCACACAGTGAAGATGTCAACCAAGGCTGTCAGTTTAACCCAAAGTCTTTGAGAAGTTCCAAAACGCCTTCCCCGCCAAGTTCCCGGAAGCATCGGGAGGAGGGGGATCCTAGGAGCCGCAAGTCCAAGAGATCCAGGAACAGCGATGTCAAGGAGGAAAACGAAGAGGAAGACGACATAGAGGTAATCCCGGTCGTTCAGCAAGGATCAGGCAGGCCGTACTCCCCGGTCCATGATTGTCAACCGACAAAACCTAGAGAGGATCGTGCCACCTCCGGTTATCAGCTGAACAGGGACAGTTATGGAGGCCGCGAGTACCTGAGCGATCTGGATACGGAGTTGGACGCTCTCAGGAAGCACCTGCTCCAGCGTGCCAACCCTCCCAGGTCGTATCCTTAGCCAATTGCTTTGGCCACATCTGAGGACTTGGAGTGCGAATTCGAGGAGGGGAGGATCAAAAGGGCGCCATCTAGTATATGCCCACCGGGGCGTCTACTCTCATATCATACTCACATTGAGCGCGACAAAGGCTTGGTCTCCAGACATACAACGTGATAAGGCGCTTAGGAGTTCTGGATTTGGATTGGATATGGAATTTGGGGTGAGGACGGGTTCGCGGTCTACCTACAACAACGGGCGCTACCATGAAGCTGATGGAACGGACTGCATACGGATCAACAGGGTAACCAGGAAGGGGACTGATGGAAATCATCTCTGAGTCGTTTCTTTCATCATTTTATTGCTTCAATCTTGAGTTCAGTTTAATCTAAAATGAAATTCTTTCTTCTTCAGGTTGTCAGAACGCAACTCCATGTGACAGCTGTCCGTCGTTGGCGATGGACAAGCAAATCAGAACATCCGGCCAGCGCTTAAGCTTCTTAATCGGGGCTGCTTACCGGTTGGACGTTGACATCGGCCGAAAGAGAGTGGGCATGAGTCGGCCGCTCGCTGTGCCCGAGGATGGAGTGTGGCGGTACGACGCTCCCCTCCCTGCAGGGCGAGTGAGTTGCGCACACGCGACGAGACAGAAAGCAAGACGACTATGTAGCTTTCGGCCGAATGCCCAAGTGCGGGCACAGGCACGGCACGAAATAGGAAACCTTACTATCTATTCCGTCCTCCCGCAGATGCATCCGTTTTCCGAGCGCCAACCGTTGACTGGAGCTGCCGAGGTGGAGCAATTCTTTGTTCTTTTCCAGATTTCCGCGCCTGAAGACTCCGGAGTTCTTCGACTGGTACTACTTTAGTACTGCTTCAATATCAGATATCTACCTTACTACTACTATACCTACTCCTCCCACGGATATGCTCGGCTGATTATAGTACTAGGAGGCGTCCTGTCCTGTAGAAGTTTGGTGCGTGCCTCGGCGCAGGATCTCTGCAGCGGATAAGGGGTCCGCCACGGCTCGCGATGTGGGCGCCGGAGTGGCGTGGCCGCGGACAGGTCGTTGATTGATTCATTGTGCTTTGATTTGGGCCGGTGACGATGCATGATTCAGACTAGAGGTCTCCCTCGCTTGGATGCAGGTTTTTGGCCGAATGTAGGGATGCAACGAGGGGTAGCAGGATACCTGACGAGGGAGTCGCAGTTGGGTTTGAAGCCGTCATTACCAAGATATTACACACACGACGGGAAAGAGTCCTGCGATGGAGGCAAGGTGGTAGTTTTAATATAGGTTACATGCTGAAGGAGCGAGCAGTGGATTCGCCAAGGAGACAGCATGGAAGAATGAATCGAGTTGAAGTTAGGCGTGGATTTTTTTTCTCATGCTTGTGGGCCTTATAGTCTAGTATAGGGAGCCAGTTGTCAACTCTTCAACATCCTCTGGGTGGTCTAGTTGGTTCATGGCGTCTGACTGTAATGGATAACATCTCATCAGAAAGTCGGCGGTTCGATTCCGTCCCCGGAGAGCAATTCTCCCCGGAGAAGAGTTACATTTTTTGTCTTTTCTACTTTTTCTATTTTTCCTTTTGTTCCGTCCCTCTTTCAGTGACGTCTGCAGTTTCCTTTTTTATTTCGCTTCCCTTTTTCTTTCCCGGTTTCCCCCATCAAAGCCGTTCAGCACCATCTTTTTATTTTCCCCTCAACTCAAAATGAACAACTTCTTTTCCTCCACTCTCCGACTTCCTCCTCCTCCTCCTCCAGATTCGTCCTCATTCTTCACCTGGTTTGCCTTCGACCGACGTCATCACAAACTCGGAGTGGTCTAGTTGGTTCATGGCGTTCGACTGTAATGGATATTCATCTCATCGAAAAGTCGGCGGTTCGATTCCGTCCTCTGAGAAGCACTTTCTTTTTTTTTGCCTCGTTCTGGAAACTCATCTCTTGTCCTTACCCCATTGCTATTTCTCTGAATACCTTCGGGAGCATTCTGGCGACTCCTGCATGACTTGCTGCTGAGCTTTGCGGAAACATGGTGGATGCGTTCTACATGTCAAGCCAAGAGGGCACGATACCAGGATGGTTCCTCAACCCGCAAGCAATTATCACCAAAGACGACGGTCGACATTCTTAGCACGGCATGTTTCAATTGCTCTGTGATCTGAAAACCCAACTTCATTCAACTACCTCTGTCCCGGGAATCCAAAACATGATAAAAACGCAATAGCCTTTGCTCCTTGACTAACACACAAGAAAGTGCAGCACCACTTGGCGAGCATTCCCTGCCAGCATCAACGTCGGTGGTGCCGCCTTGATCGACGGCGCTCACGAGAATCATCGCGCGCCCCATGCACCCGATCTCTTCCTGCCCTCCTTCTTGGTTCCTCGGGTTGCACATTCAACCGCTGGCTCAGGAGTTCCTCCATGGCTTGCCTGTCTGGTTGGTATATGAAGTTGACTATCTCGCGTCTCCGAGTCTCGAGGCGTGCGTCGGCGGCTCGAAGCTGCTGCAGCACTTCGTCAAGGCTGAGTAGTCGTCCACCCCCAATTCCGAAGTGGCCTGCTGGAAACTCTGGGCCCCGAATAATTGGAGGAGCCGGAGCATCATCATCATCATGATCATGAGCATAAGCATGAGCATCAGCACGACCATGATGGGGAGCATGATGATGGGCATGATGGTGGGCATGATAATGGGCATGGGCATGGGGATGAGCACGGCCTGGAACAATTATAGGAGGAGGGGCAGCATGACCTGGAAAAATCGCAGGAGGAGGAGCACGACCTGGAAAAATCGCAGGAGGAGGAGCATGATCCGGAATGATTGCAGGAGGAGCACGACCTGGATTAATTGCGGGAGGACGAGCGTGAGCTGGAACTCTCGCCGGAGGGGCGCGAGCCGGAGCTGGAGCTGGAGCCCGTGCTGAAAGGAGGGGAGCATCGTCAAGCGCCAACAGAGCGAACTCATCTGCCGGATCGTATCGCAGCCGCGGGACTCGAGTCGAACCCAGTTGCTCGCTGCCGTCCGCGAGATGCGCTCTTCCACCTCGCGTGATGGGCAACCGGCCCGGCCGTCGACGGATGGGGATACGGAGCTCTCGTGCGTTATACAGGGGGCAATTGCAATCGAACTCCCAATCTGCGCCGCAGAGAAAGCAGAACTCGGCGCCACACACGCACCTGCCATATTGACCCAATGTTAGCTCTCAAGTGTCCAGCCAGGGGCAGATAAGGGGAAAGGAAAGGAGACAAGATTCTCACGTCATATGGTTGCATCCATCCATCAGGGTTATCACGATGCCGCACTCAGGACAGCCCACAAGCCCATTGGCGTCCATCATATCCCACAGCGCCTCGTCATCACCCTCCGCTCTGCATGGCAAGCCTCTGTGTGCTTTTGCGCCACACTCTTTGCATGTCGCGCTGCTACACGACGGACATGTTCCCACCGCCGTGGCATTGGCCTCGTCTCTGGCCGCCGCTTGGATGGCCGACGGTGAGATAAAGGACGAGCAGCCGGGATTGTGGCAGTACAGCCGCTGAGCTGGCGGTACCGCGTACTCGGCTGACAGCTGCCGGAACAAATGAACCAGCGCGGGACGTCCAGCGAGGCGGACTGTGGCCTCATCAAAGGGCTGGCAGCAGCGCGGAGGGAAGTCTGCCTCAGAGCGGAGGCCGACACGCACCAACTCTCGCAGACAGCCGGCACAGTAGCGGCAACCGCACGGCACGGCTACGGTGTTCCTATCAAAACAGATGATGCATCCGTTGGCGCCTGCTTCCTCCTGGTTTGCGTCGTCGTCCTCTGGTTCCGGTGATGCCCGCAGCAGGAGCCGTCGTTCGTTTTGCGACAGAACCACGCGGGACCCGAGGTTCTGTAGCCGCGGATGGTTGAGACTTTCTTGGGCGATTTCGTCGTCGGTCATGATGCGCGAGACGATGTGTATCTGCTCGTCCTCCGGCAGCATCGATATTGCCAGTGACACCGCGTTTGCGAGCGCCGCCTCCGAGAGGGAGTCTATGTCCCCCGGCGGCATGATGTTCATTCGAAGTAAGAGGTCAAGCAGCACAGGGTGAAGCTCCTCTACTGCTCGCGACCTCTCAGGGGCTGCAGCAGGGGCCGGAGCAGGAGCCACAGCAGGCCCTCGGGTGTGATGTCGATGGTGTCGATGCGACATGGCGATTTGTACGTGATAACTGTCAGGAGTTTCAAGTGTCTGCTCGTTCTTGTCTCTACAACGGTGCAGGATGCTCTTGTTATCGTTGCTATCTTAGCAAAGAGAGTAGAGCGGGCAACCTCGAAAGAGGAGGAGGGAGAGAGAAAGGTTCTTTGCCGTGCCTTATATCTCCGATCACGATACACATCACGATACGATGAGTGTTCATTTTCTCGCCTCGCTGGCTGGCTGACTATGTGCTATCAGGGGGTTTGTTCAGGTCACTGTGTTCTGGCGTGTTATTCCACGTCGGTTCTGTTACACTTTCCTGCTGTCGAGTGCGGCTAATCACTGATGAGAGAGGGCAGTAGAGCATCGTGAGCCGTAGCAAGCTTGCCCGCATGCCGACAGTCTCGATTTGTACTCCCATGGCGTCTTGACCTGTCCTTTGTTTTCATGGATGTGCGTGTCCTGCTTGTCTTCGATGTCCTTGAAAGAAAGAGCTTCAGTCGATCCTGGACAAGGACAGGTGAGTTCAAAATGTGTGTTTCTATGTCTTGTGTGTGTGGAAAAAAGACGATGCCGACTGTGACGAAGAGTTAGAGAAAGGGGAGGGTGGACTTTGGGGAGGAAGATGCTCTGGCAGCAGATCATCTTATGAACAAAGCAGACAGTATTTGGCTAACTGTATCGTAATAAGTTGCCCGGTCATATACTTTGGCTCTTTACAGTTTGTACCTATTCAGCGGGAACAAGCCGTCGCCGTTCTGCAAGGATTCAGAAAAAGCTCCATTCATTGAACACTTAGTGTATCGGGAACACATCTTTCGTAGACTGGGTGTCGATGGTGCGGGTGAATAGGGGACGGCTTGACTTTGTTGAGGATGCATTTGCTTGACTGACAAGGCTAATAATCCGTTCTCTTTCACGAATGAATTTGTAGGCTGTTCATGATTCTGCACGTATTCAATCTACTTTATGTAGTGCACCGAGTTCACCACGGGACAAATCACGTCGTCCTCCCTTTCGAAGCCGAAAAAGAACCTGATGAAACGGTGTACATTCAAAGTGCAATTTTTTAGTTTCCAAGAACCAGTTCATCCCAGAAAGAGGCGTGAATGCTCCAGGTTGAATAAATGGGAATAATATTGTCTTTACAGGACGAGGGTATTTCGCAGAATCCAGTATGCAATATCCATAATCCAGTTCGTCTCCGCCACTACCGGGGGAAAACCATGATCAAATCGACGACGGAGGTAAAAAAATAAACACAAGCAAAGAAAAAGAAAACCAAAAACCAAATGATATCAGAAAGACCACGGTCCCTAAATCACAGTTTGGCCATGATAACGCTCTCCAAAAAAGAAACGTGGGAGATTCTTCCCCCGCCTCGCGACCACAACTCCCGAAAATATCCACATATCCCCGAAAGATATCAAAAAGAGCCCAGAATAATAATGACCCGTCGGTGCCTTTCCCATAACCTTTCCCCTCCGAAGATCCATGTTTCCGTTCCTCCCCTTGTAACTAAAAGAGATTTGTTTGATGCAACCCGGAGTCATGTACCCTTGGAGATCCCAGTAACCGTTAACAAAGGGGGGGGAAATCAAGTACTGATAAAGACAAAAAACAACCAATACCCAGACGCCGTTAAACTCCGTTTCGTCAGAAACTCCATCGCTGATATATTTCTCGCATGTTCACATGAAAGGTTAAGGGGGTAATAAAGCAGCCGCCTCCCTATATATATAAAAGGAAGAACGGCCTGAAATAAAAAGGAGAAGCACCCGAGACATAAGGCACGGGCACGCGGCTCCTTGTGGAAGGGAAGAAGACAGATTGTGTGCATCGCTTTTTTTGTTTTGGTTTTTTGTTTTCAGTAACTGAAGTCGACATGCGCCATGGTTGGGACGGAGTCTTTGTTCCCATCTGAAGATGCTGTCGTTATTTCGTTGCCATCCCCGTGATGAGCGTTGGGAGGCATTTGGATGATGACTGAATTCGAGTCGCCCAGGGTAGTATCGGCGCTCGATTGCGTGGATGTCGTCTGTAGCTCGTGATCCGGCGGAGGCTGGGCGCTGGGTGACCATCCCTCGTCGAGAATTTGCTGAAAGCTCCAGCTGGGCTCGAAGCTTCTGCTATTCCAGGCATGGTCCACTCGCTCGTACATCTCGTCGATCTGCTCCAAGCTGATTTTGCTGGTTTCGTACACCATGGCCCAGACGAAGAAGACGGCGAGGATGCAAAAAGCCCCCCAGATGAAGAAGATCTTGGTGCCGAAGCCAGCCGTGCCGGGCCCGCTGCCCACCATGAAGGGCGTGCTGTAGCCGATACCAAAGTTGAGAACCCAGTTGGAGAATGTCGAAATAGACATGGACTTTGCGCGGACTTTGAGGGGATATATCTCCGACGTCACGACCCACGCAACGGGGCCCCAGGAAGAGGCGAAGAAGAAGATGTTGAGAGAGCAGAAGACGATTAGTATGGTGGTCGAGGCCTGTCTGAGGCCGTCCCCAGCAGCGGCAGCGAACGATGCCATGAGCAGCTGACAGCATGCCATGCCGATGGCGCCCACAATCAACAACTTACGGCGACCCCAAGATTCGATGACAAAGACGCCGACAAAGGTGGACACGACGTTGATGACTTGGATGATGAGCGACTTGGTGTAGGGGCTGTCAACGCCTGAGCCGCCAAAAAATGTGGTGCTATAGTACATGATGAAGTTGATTCCGGTGAGCTGCTGAAGCATTTGGATCCCACATCCGGTGAACGTTCGGCGTCCAAGATGAGGCGAGCCTACAAAGATCTCCTTGTAGGTGTCCGGACCCAAGGTCAATTCGTACTGGTGATTGGCGACGATTTCCTGGAGTTCGTCGATGAGGGCCGGGTGAGTGATGTCGAGGCGTCGGAGGCGACTTAATGAAAGGCCGGCGGCTTCCTTCTTGCCTTGCTTGACTAGAAATCGAGGAGTTTCAGGGAGGAGCAGGAGGCCACCCGTCAGAATGGCGGCAGGGAGGAGCTGAAGGCCAAGGGGTATTCGATAGGAGGCTGCTGATGGGATTCTGGAGGTGATGATGTTGATGATGGAGGCGGAGAGGAGGCCTATGGTGATGGAGAGCTGGTAGGCGCATACCAGGGTACCACGTATCCATTTGGGAGCCATTTCCGACTGATATAAGGGAACAAGGACTGAGACGGCGCCAACGCCAACACCGGCCAGACATCTGCTCCACGAGGTCAGTCCGTCTCCAAGCACATACATTGTAAGGGACGTGAAGGCGCAAGCCAGGAATATGTTTCGACAAGGTGACGGCGATGAGGATCGGTGACGGAACGAGAAGTAAGAAACAGGAAACCCACCTTCCAACTAACAAGGCGGGAAGCGCCTCGGCAGAGACCTGCAGAATGGCTCCGACGCAGAAGATGAGAACCGACAGCAGGAGGGTTCGTCGACGTCCGAGTGAATCGCCGGCAGGTGCAGCAAGGAGGGCTCCGACGGCGGTGCCGACGCTGAGAATGGCGACGATGAGGGCCGAGTCTTTGGCGCAGATGTCGTCGTGTTCGTTTTTGTTGTTACAGGTCCCAAACCTCTGCTTAAACTCGTCCATGGCGAGAATACCGTTAATTGCCCTAGACAGAGAAGCGGGTTAGCGGTCGATGTTGGCACGTAGAGGCAAAATAGACTGGTGCACGAGAGCCGAATGCAACGACGTCAAAGAAAATTTTGAGAAGGTAATCATGACAAATTCATGTGCCATGCGAGCTTGCTTGTTCATCTTCTTCCCTTTCGGGGGGGCCGTGCCACGATGACGATGAAGATGTCGGCCCTCCTGTCCCGCATAGTCTCATCGTCGTGCAAAAACCGTGGCATGGTCGACGATAAAAAAAATGACGAGACAGAGCACGCCTTCGATGCAGCACTAACGGCATCAATCCAACCAACTGACGTCCCCTTTCCACTCCTAGGCATCTCGAGTGTTCGGGTACAAGACTTGGTGCGAGCGACAACAACGACAATGAAGAGACGGCAACGGGCATCGTAACAGGGTCGGGCGAGGGCGATCGAGCATCGCATCGCAGTTGACGGGCTGGTAACAATGTTGCTGCTGCTTACCCAGTATCGTATCCAAAGAGCAAACCACCGGAGGCGACGAAGAGACCGACCATGATCGCTGGCGCCGACGAGCCAGCGACATTGTCGGGCTTGTGCCAGCCCATGGCGATGGCCATGGTGACGGCGGTTGAGGAGTCAATCCAGGGCTTCAGGCGTTGCGACGCCCTTTCGCGTCGAGGCGGGCGGCGGCAGAAGCGAGGGTTTTCGACGATGGCGGGTCGCCGGTCGCAGGCGCTGTTCGGGGGCGGAGCGGCGAGCGAGAGTGTTTCTGGGGAGAGGACGCAGAGAAGTGGACGACAAAAAGCGAGAGGCAAGCAAGCACAGCAGAGGCGCTGCGGCGACGAGTCGTCACGGACGGCAGTGGGTAATATTCTCTGCGTTTCAGTGGAAGATGGGGGGCGCGGAGGCCAGAACAGCAGCGCACAACAGAGGCAAGGGTCGAGCCAGCCGGCTGCGCTAAAAGTGTGACCACTGACGGTGCTAACGGCACCACGAGCAGGCACTAACAGGCAAACGGCAGAGGGCACAGTGCCGTTCTGGTCAAAGGCTGTTAGTCGTCTGATAGTACCAAGTAAGAATAGCGACAGGCGGCGTCGAGTAGAGGTCGAGGCACGGGCGCGAGCCGTCGGTTGGTCGCCGGTCCTGGTGCTGATGGCGTCTGCTCTCAACCAAGGATCCGGGGAATACAGTGCAAGACGGCGGCGCAACGAGGGCGACGAGGCTTAGAGAGGCATCAATGGGATCAACGAGCTCGAGGCTTCCGCGGCGCTGCTCAGGTGCGGTCGCGGCATGGGAAACCAGGGGATGTCCGAGCCTCGAGCCTTGGGGCCTTGGGCCTGTCTGTCTTGTGAGCGCACAGTAGTACTATTTCGATTTGAATTGCTGGTTGGACCTGGAACGTCGAGTTCCGTTGGACCTCTGCCGGAGGGAGAGGGCGAGAACGGCTTCCGAGCTGGAACTGGGATTTGTGGGCCGTAGCGTGATGTGCGCAAGCACTGCAATCCAGAGGTGGCCGCGGCCGCTTATACTTGTAAGCACGACGAAGAAGGCCGAGGAGCACTGAAGAGACGAGCTCGAAAGTTGAGGAACAAACTTGAAGACAAGGGGCAGAAGTGAGATTCGGGACGAGAGGACGAGGAGGAAAGTCAATGGAGGCGGGAGGGCTAGCAAGCGAACAGGAAGCGATCAGCACGAAGCAGCATGGCGCCGACGGCAGCTGATTGGCCGGCGAAGGGCTCTGGCGCGCCCCACCCCGCAGCGGCAGGAGAGGAAGGCCCTGAAGGACGGCCCTGGAGCCCTGGAGGAGCCCTGGGAGCAGCCCTGGAACATCCGCCTGGGGGGCTTGTCTGGCGCTGGCTTCTAGGCCGCTTCTCCGCCTGGGCCTGGAAGCCGGAATCCTGGGGGGGCAGGGATCGATCGCAACGTGGGCGATGTTGCAAGTCAGCATGGAAAAGGATCCGTGGGCCGTCGAGCATCGCCGTGTGCTCTGCATCTGCATGCCGCGTGCCTCGTTCTTGCAACTGCACAATCTACAGCTACTAGAGGTACTCAAGTTTACTATCTCGTCTGGACAGCTTCCGAGTACCGTGGCTCTGGCAAGCAGCCTTTTGGCTTGTTCCATGGGCCATTGCCGAGCCTCCCCCAATGGTGCATCCTCGTACTCCGTACCACTCAGACACAGAGAAAGCACGCGCAGGTACTGGATACGCGCAGTCGACACTCCGCAGGCACCCCGGGAGGCATCTCAAATTCTTCTCTCCTCTCCACCGCAGCCTGACGCAACGGGCAACGCTGACGGACGAAGAACGAGGGAGAACAAAGACCAGTCTCCCAGGTACTCGCCCAGTATTCGCTACCTGGCCCATCCGTGCGAGCACCCGGGCGCCGCCTATTCGCTGCTCTGGCTGGCTAATCACTCGCGATGCTGGGGCTCGCCACCCTCCTTCAGCTGGCGCCATGCCTGGTTGGGGGATTCGCTCGCCGCCACAGAGGAATGGAGTCGGCATCCCCTGCCAGCCGCTTTTCTCTTTCCACCGTGTACGGAGTACTACGAAGCTCCAGGTATGATGACACGAAATCTGGGGGGAGCAAGGAGTCCGAGAAAGGACGGAAGGGAAGAGGAGAAATGACGAAGAAGAAAACGTGGGAAAGAAAGGGAGCAGCAACAGCAGGAAGAAGATGATGACGATGACGGCTACAAGGAGGTTATTCCAGACTTTGAATCGGTAGGCAATCGGCAGGGAGGGGGCCGAGAGGCTTGACGCAAAACGTTGGTGCTGCAACAATGGACTCACGACGACGCACTCGCACGAAGCAGAGCTGCTCTGGTGCGGCTCGTGGCTTGCGAGCTGCTCGTTTCTCCCGAGTACGAGGTATGCATGCTCTTCGTCCTCACACAGGTGCTCGTACTTTGTACGCCTGGCAGGACGCACAACAGCAGGGAGCAGCCAGGTACGGGCAGGCATGTATCACCTCAGAAGGAGACGATGGGAGTTTAACTTGGAGCACGAGGCATGTAACAAGTACGTTACCATTGCACCATCTGCGCCGGCATCTCTTATGATGGTATTCGTACCTGTTCCGGTGCCTGGTCGAGGCGAATATCGAGCAGCTCTCCATGGTGACCTGGGCTCTTGCTCGACGACGATGCCTTGGGCCAGCCAGACTATCCCAACGCCGCCATGTCCGATCCTTGCCCCGTAAGAGCCCAGAACGTCTCCGGAGACTCGCGGGTGGAGCGGTGAATGCAATTTCGCTCCCCAAGAGAAAAGCCATCGACCGTCGGCTAACTGCCTGGACGAAGCTTGGATTGGCTGGGGTGCACAGAGCTGTATATTGGCTGCCACTTAGCTGCATCACGCTGGCCGGAGTGGCTTTGCCCTCCTCTCTTTTCCCCTCTCGCTCTGTCCAACTAATAACCAGCCTGCGAGTCTCGTGAGGGCGCCCCCTCCAGGTATTTGCCCGCACGCCCTGACAAGCTATATTACGGTTGCTAATAAGAAACTGACGGGAGCCAGACTGGCCCGGGTTGGTGCGGCACAGTATGATCACAGCCGTGTGCCCTTTCGACAGCGATGACTCGCAACCAGGATGTCCTGCCTCGGTAACGGTTCAATGGTCGGGTACACGTACAATGCGGACTTGGTCATACCGTCGACGCCGGAACGCTTTCAGATGAGGTTCACTGTACCAATACATCCGGCCGGCAACCACGACGCTGCACAGGCCAGGCATATTACACGTAGGTAGGGCACACGTGCGTGAGCATGGCAGAGATGGAGGATCTGTTCTCGGCAGCTCGCAGAGCCGGGCGAAGAAATCGAACGATGCAAGCAGACCAGATGGACCAAGCTACTACTACAACTAGCATCTGCTCATGCTCGTGCCGATAGTCTTGATGAATTCGGGCGGTTGATATTGGCGGATGCAGCAGATGCGGAGGGACCGATTCATGACATCTTGTCGTCTTTCCACCCGGCGGTTTCGCCCAGAAATCTGAAGCACCACAAGATTCGTATCCACGCCACAAGAGAAAATGGGATCAAGAGCAAAAGAGAAAAGGTAACAAAAGGAGTGGCTGGTGCACCATGACGGTGCATCAAGAAATCCCCAGATCTGTGTGGCGGCTGTCGTGCGCATTGACGCGAAAAACGTGGTAGCATCCGAACAAGCAGAAAAAGCGAACAAAAAAAGGGACGGGACGGCCAGATTATGCGGAGAAAATCTGGGGAAGGGAAAAAAAACGGACTCGAAAAAAAAAAAAAAAAAAAAAAATTCCATCTGGGAATTGCTTTCGAGCCACTGCCACCTCCGCGTCTTTGTGTCCAGTGCGCCACACAGTGCTGCTTACAAGCCTGTAAGGTACTCCCAACTAGCAGATACTTGCAGCCGCAGGTCGACTTCGGCTGCTGTCTTGAGTAAATGGCGGGCTACCACGGCTGCGCGGCAAAGAACGTAGCTGATGCGTGCCTGTACCGAAGCGGGCGAGTGCAAGAGAGGTACAGTGTGGTGAGTTTCGAACACGGTGCATCGCATTCTTGGCCTTTTGGTGGGCTTTTGAGCGCTTGTCATTGCCAGCTTGGGCCGTCGCAGGAATCGGATGCTTGCAGCGATTTGCGGCACAAGGTTGGATCAAGGGGACGATTTCAGCATGGATCTGCTGGCGATATCCGTGATGTCCTGGCCTGACCTGCTGCTCAACTTGCCATACATAGGGACGAGTAACTATCCAATATTGACCCGATCGTGGCCTTTCCTGGAGGGTTGAACTTCCATGTCTTGACGTCTTCCCTCCTCAGGGTTCTCCTTACCAGCCAGCACTAAACTGGAGCTGCGCAGTTGCATCAGCAGCTGGACAGATATCTTAACCTTGTTTCTCCATGGAGCCGAGAAAAGGGCCTTGATAAGTGTCAAGCTTTTATCATATTGATTCTGTCATGGTTTTTGCGCCTCGTCGATGATGCGGTGTCAGAGAGAGACAGGGGCAGAGTTGTCTTTTTTTTTCAGCTGCGGAATAGCTTCGACAGCGGAAGCGTCTTTTCTCCATGGGCCCGGGATATTATGGCTTAAGCTGGTGAAGGGGAGGATATACTTTAGATCTCCGGCCTCGGCTTCAGCCATCGGAGATCCTATTTATACCAAGCCTTTTGAAAGGATGATGAATGATGACCTAAACATGTGAAAAGGGGGGGGGGGGCGCTCAGTATTAGAGGAGGCATCTATCCTTCAATCTATTACTGCATCACATAATAACAGCATCACATCTTACAGCAATAAATTACTTACACGTATCTACTATGTTTGTATGTATGTATGTATGTAGTAGTATGTATTATGCCGCAGTGATGCAACGCTGCCGGAGTAAACCAGCCTAACACTGATTGCAGCCAAGCCCACCACAATCCAATATATTTTACTTTTTTTACTCCTCCTTCACACGTGCTCTCTCTCCACCAAGTACCAAATTATATGACAATTCTTTCGTATGTACTCGTATCTCGACGGGGCCCAGATTTGACAGATGACAGCCCAGATGATGCGCTCTTCTTTGCGTCTCGACCCCGGATCGGCATCACACCCCCGCATATCGCCACTGACTCTTCACTCCATCATTTGA